CACGTAAGTTCGAAAAATTTTCTGCGAAGCGGACTAGGTAGAAGACGAGCCCAAACGCGAGCAGCCCCAGCGCAATCACGTAAAGCATGCAAGGTCAATTCCTCAGTCCGGCCACGAAGCGAGCAAGAAGAAGAACTCGTTAAATGTCGGCGAGCTCTCTCCAAGTTCGTCAGCAGCCAGTTCGAAGCCGCCAACCACAAGAACTGGCGTATTCGTTGGGGCCCACGCCAACGCCAGACAGCCCGCCACAACGAGAATAATGAAGCATAGGCCGATTTGGTCGTGAATTGGCCATTTCCGGAATAACCCCAGTACAACAAGTCGTTTGGGCTCGTTCCACGCCGCCGGCCATGGCCACCCCAGTACAACGAGCCGGCAAAAGATGTGCGAACATAGGCCAGTTCCACCCGCCCGACTTCGTGACAAAATCAATCACCGGGAGGTCCCACTGAGTTGCCGGGATCGACCCAATAGCAACAGAGCACAACGGAAGTGACTGATGGAGCCACCTATCTCGCCAGAAATTTACGCGACGACCATTTCCAATAGACCAGCGGGACCCCTTTACTAGCGCAGGCCAGATCTTCGCAATTGCCCCTAGGATCGTCGAACCCTTGGGAAACACAAAATTCTTGCCCATTGATGAAGTACGCAATTTATACTTGGCTAACAGGAGACGAACCCACAAAGTTTCCGGTTTCGTCAGGAGAGTCCATCCCAATTTCTTCAAAAACGCCATATTCATCTCTCTATGTGGCTTCAGACCCAATCCCCCAGCTGATAAGTTGATTGAAAAATATTGAAAAGTAATATGTTCTTTGTGAGTTCTCGTGTGTGAGTTTTCTTTTATTCCATTTCGTCATTCACGTTCTACATCAGTTGCTATCCAGAGACCAACGACGATCCACCATGCCGCCGAAAAAAAGAAACGCTGCAAACGACACCACCGTCGACGACCGATTGCAATGGATGGACGATCGGGTTCAAGGGATGGAGGATCCTTTACGATGTCTTCGGGAATTGAGGAGTTACGTCAGGCTATGCGTACATGATGGAGGAGGTGCGTATGAACCGCGACGACAACGACCGGGATGCGCTGAGGATATCGCGGTGGCCGCGGTGGACGTGGCTTTGGCAGAGCGCCCCGCCGGCATTCACCTTAGTCTCCACCCGGTGACTATGAGGACGACGAGAAGACAATATATATGGCCAATCCTTTCGGTGAAGGGCAACTTCAGCAAGGCGTCGAGGAGTTTGACGCGCACGGTGGCCATGGCCGGCGGCGTGGGGTAACCTTCATGGCGGACGGCGACCAGATGCAACAGGCTAGAGTTTGTCAGCGGAAGCGAGCAGGCCCTCAGGACGATGCTTATCTGCGATGGGACTGGGTTCACAAACGCAACGAATACGGCTTCGCCGGCGGCGACCATCAGGGAAGAGACGGTGATGAAGCGCGCGAGTTTTGGCTACGTTGCGGGGGACGGACAACAGCATCGCAAAGGGTCGGGATTCACTTCGGGCGAGCAGTTACCGGAACTGGGGCTTGCACAATGGTTGGGACCTCACCGACGAGGAGCAGTAGTGGCGAGCTTTGCGTCACGCGTTGGATGATCAGTGTGTCGCACTTGTCGCGACGAGGCTTCGCGGCCGTGCGCCGCTTGGTGGTTACAACTCAAAAGTATGCGGCATCGACTTGGCAAACCAAAAATCTCGACCTAGATTAATTTCCGTAAGCACTTAGAATGTGAATTTTACCAAAAATCTCGACGTGTATTAAATTCTGTAAGCACATAGAACGTGAATTTTTACTCTTTAATTATGCCCGTTCGGTTTATCAACAATTCCAAAATTTGAGACAAGGTGCTCGTTCCGTGAATGAGTACACGAAAGAATTTTACCGCCTCATGACTTACGTAAAGATTTGTGAGACGCTGGACCAATTGGTTTCGAGGTATGTGGCCGGTTTACTTGTTGTTTTCTAAAATATGCTTAATATGATAGTTCCCGATATGGTTTCTGATGCGCACCAGCGAGCACTGTTGCTCGAACAACAGCATGCAGGAAAGGCGGGTGTTTTGTCTGCACCGTCTACTAAGGAGCTTCCGGGAACAGTGGTTACAACGCCGACTGGTCGAACAATCAACCGGGTGTTGGAGCAGTTGGTCCACCGGGTGGGGGCAGCAGTCGACAGTCTAGCGGGCCGCATTGCTTCTCTTGTGGCGAACCGGGTCACCGGCAGGTCCAGTGTCCGAAGACAAAGGGGTCACGGGCTGTAATTGTTGAGGAGGTGGAGCCCGGCGAGTATGATGGCCCTCCGATTTTCGATAAGGAGCCGGAGGTTCTGGTGGTGCATGTCTCGGGGGATGTGGGTCACCCACTTGTCCTTCATCGATCCCTGTTGTCTCCCCACATTTCTTCCAACAATGAGAGTCAGCGGCAACACCTTTTTGAGTCTACGTGCACCATTAGCGGATGGGTGTACCGTTTTGTGATCGATTCCGGCTCCCGAGAACGTGATTTCGGTTGAAGCCATTCAAAAATTGGAGTTGGTGAGTGAGCCGCATCCGGATCCCTACTCTCTCGCGTGGATACAGCGTTACAACGCTGTCTCTGTTACACGTCGTGTCTTGGTTTCTTTTTTCTATCGGGTCTTCATATAAGGATGCGGTGTGGTGTGACATTGTGCCTATGGATGCGTGACACTTTTTGTTAGGGCGTCCTTGGCAGTTTGATCGAGCCGTGGTGAATGATGGGCGCCTTAACACGTATGAGTTTAAATTTGACGATGTCCGCTTGGTTTTGCATCCTGCAGCTCCCCATTCGATGTCAGTGTCCCCACAGGCGGCCTTATTTCTTTCTTGTGGCGAGGCATGTGAAGAGGTTTATGGTTCATGAGACGATCGTTGTGGTGTTTGTTGTTGGCAACTTTGTGTAGGTTGTTTCCCGGGCAGACGGACGCCTAGACGCATAGGCCCTTACAAAATTATCGTCGGATCCTTCCGGATGTCTACCATCTTAGCTTGCCTTCTCATGTGTGTTTGTCGGACAGTTTTCATGTGGCACAATTGGCTCCTTGGCATGTCGACAACTCTGACGGAGAAGAGCTCCCTCCAGATCAGTGTTATCAAATGGCGGCCATGGCGGTATGGCGTGGCAGATTTTTTACAATCCGCCATGCAAATTTTGTGAATGATGGCGGTCAGAGCGGCGCCAT